TGTTATAATATGGGGGTGGTATTTTTTCTTGAGTTCTCTTGTCTTGGTGATGTTTACATAAGTTTGACACAAAATCCCAATGTACAACACAAGATCTTTGAATGATCATACCAATATCATACCAGTACTTGTCATTTCTCAAAACGAGCAGTACAGTATCTAATGGTTAGAAAAATATGGCAGTTCTGATAATGACCTGTACTTAACAAATGATTGAAAAATTATCTGGAGCATTTGTGTAAAGTTGAATAGGTTGTCATGTGTGCAATATTGGTTATGCAGTCCTCGTGATCTTGCAGTTTTGCGCATACTTTGCACAACTGTGAAAAAAGCAGTGCTCTTCAGATTATATTTTTTATTTTATCTTGACTTAGGAATTTTTTACGGTTGGTGGATCCGCAAACATTTGCCATATTCAGTGTTGTTATACTTTCTCATTGTTGGTTTTTCAGAAGAGGGTGAGGATGAGGAAGAAGAGGTTGAGGAGGAAGAGGTTGAGCAAGAGCCTGCTGAGCAGGATGCCGAGGAAGGGCCTGCTGACCCCAGCAGGGATGAATTATGATACCCATCGTGTTACGTTAACATAGGACATAAAACATATATATGCATTTTCTGGAGAAAAATCATGGGACCACCTCATACAACTTCACACTGTAAATTGGGGGGGATTTGATTGTTGACAATAAAAAGAGAAAACTTGTCGAGGATTGTTGTGTGTGAGAGGACCATTGACTGCATGGCCAACTAACCTTGAATCTAGTCAAGAATATTCTCAAAACAAGGTGTTCTGGGATATCTCTAGGAATCATTAGTTTTGTCTCCACACATTTAGAGCGATTTATACATTTCACACTGCATCAATGCAATAGTGTAAAACTAAGCATTGAAGCCTCTTCTTCGTCCATGATCATGTCATACAAAGCCATAACCTTAGTTACACTGTGTTGCATCAGCTCTGAAATTTTTATTCCTGTTTGGGAATTTTCGGCAACATTTGTAGCAGACAAACACCAGCCCTGAGCAGGTCCAGATAAGCCCTGAGCAGGTCCAGATAAGCGGACATGAGGAAATGTTAAATGCAGGACGTTACACCATCTGAACTTCACCCAGACTGAGTTTACAGTAATGACACAAATAAGCTACAAAGACGGATATACCCGATAGTGTAGAGAACTACCGGTACAAGAAGTTTACTGTCCAAGATTATCAGCTGTTTAAATGTTGCACATGATAAAAGCCATTGTTACATGGTTTCTGAATGCTTGGGGTAGACACATGTAGCCTCTGAAAAATATTTTAAGGTTTGTTTTCTGAATTTGGTTTTCTTAAAGGCCCAGAGAATCAGATTACAAGGCCTGAAACTAAAGAGTGCTATACTTGCCAAAATATTGTAGACTTTCTCAGTAGTTATCCGATAATTTGTTTTCTGATATTTTTGTTTCATGTTTCCATGTCTGTATGAGACGAGCTGATTTAACTTATATTGCATACTATTTCCACATCAATCTTCTTCACACTGACAGAAACAGAGCCCGAATCATGCGACTTGTTATCTAGAAACAAACAAACATTGTCAGGTCACTGCAGTCATAAAGTAGGTGTGTCTCTTCTAAGGTGTTTGAGTACCGACGTTTCCTAATCTAGTGACACAGGAGTTTTATTGCATGTTGTGGGTCAGAGTAATTTTGTACCTGTAACTTACCTTGAAAGTGTTGCACAGGCCATTGCAGATGTAGAAGAGAAACTACACTCGAGCTAGTCTGACTTAGTCCCTGAACCATATTATTTTCCCTTCCACCCAGTCCCTTCTGTAATGTCTAAATGAAGCAAGTCTAGATTTTCCTCAGGTTCAGAAGCTCACATCTCACCGGGGCTCCGTTTCAATTTATATGCAGTTGTTTGTTTCAAGCAAAAAAATGTCAGAGACTAAGTGTTAGTCTACACCCAAGCCTATTCACTGTCCTAGATTGTTTCAATTAGGTCTTTCAAACGACACTGAAACACAATTTAGCAATGAATTATAACCCTAATAAAATCGACTAATTATATTGTCTCACTTTGCACACTTGCAAGGTTTCAAAACATTATTCTGAAATCCCGTAAATCTAAATTTCTAGGAGGTGGAAAGATTCAAATGTACATGTAGCAAGTATTTCTTTTCCTTTAGGTCTCGGTCTCTGTCAAGGTTACAGTGAAGATCACAGAAGTAACGTGTCTAGATGTATGCATTTGTGAGATTGGGCAAATGATGCTTCTAGCAATATTCACCTTGCCTGTACCAGCAACACAGAAGTATTTGCACAATTACATTTATTCATATCAAGTGAATTGGTTAACTTCCATTTTGAACAGTATTTCAGCTTTGTCATGGTGCTTTTGTTTGTTTGTTGTTTAACACCACACTCTGCAATATTCCAGATAAATGACAGTGGTCTGTAAATAATTGTGTCTGGACAGACAATCCAGTGACTGACATCATAAACTGACATTATGTCAACTAAACAATTGGTTCATCCTCATTAAAGTTTCCTATGCAGAGTTGAAATTTTGTATTTCTCGTCATTTTCTTTCTCAAACTTACAATGAGTAATCTATAGAATAACCAACTCAAACAGAATGAAGGGTGAGTCGTCACTTTTGAAAGAATGCTGATAATTTGTAACCCTCGGGAGCTCGTTGGTAATTCTCTAAAACTACTACTCATAGTCTGATAGTATTCTGTTTCAAAGGAACATCCGCTAAATCTTATTGCTGTTTAGAACTGGACTCAGTAATATTACAGCTATATGACAGCAGTCTGTATTAAGTCTTTACCAGACAATCCCATGATCAACATCATGAGCATTTATCTACGCAATTGGGACACAATGACATGCATCAACCAACTCAGCAAGCCTGACCACCCGATCCCATTGTCATTGCACATGAGGTGATTTTGGGTTTAACGTCACGTTCAAGATTATTGCACTTATATAGTGGCGTGTGTGCGTGCGCGCTAGTCCAGGCTAATGCTGATTTTATAGTGCTAGCCATCTTCCCGAGATAAGGGCATAAAATGACCATAAAAGTCTAGTTTCCACCCTTGCCAAACTAGACTGGAATAACCATGCTGGATTGCAGCTCCTCCAGCAGCTAGTACAAGTTTTGTCCCCTCCATGTTCCTCCTCCTGACCAATCAGATTCCATTTCTTATATCACTTGCATTTGCTTCAAACAAAATGACAGCACCCAGTGAAGATGATCTGATCGATAATCAAGATCTATATTGTAATAAAACGGGTGTTACACTGCTACATGCATCAGATGACTTGAGCACCTTGACATGAAAAGATTTGCAAAAATGAAGTCCAGCCTAGTGCAGCAAACTGGAGTCAGTTAACGCCCTTGCCTCGGGAAGAAGAGTGCTAGCCCACTGAGATACCATGTCACAGTTTAACATGAATATCCCACACAAACAGTATACTGACTCCAAGCTGACCAGTCCTTGTCTTAGCCCCTTAATGCCGAGCACCAGGAAGGGTAACAAGTACCAACATTTAACGACTTATGCAGCAGGGGATTGAACCCCTTGACCGTCTGCTCTCCGGGCTACCACTTGACCATGGAGGTGGTATCACAGTCAGCCTTATGTTGGAAGGGTATTGCAGACAAGAACTAAGCATGGTGCTGACAAACCAAGAATCATCCAACTCTGTACAACTAAAGGACACAACTGCACATGAAATGCAGCGACTCCAATACACCTCTCTGCGAAGAGTTGGCAATCCCTCCACACGGCACCAGGTGTGAAATGCCCCAAACTAGAATTCCATCAACTTCCGTCAAAGGTCAAACAACATGTACAAGGACCCATAATCTAAATACACAAAAACATCAAACACATACAAACACCATATACAAACAGCTCCCTGCATAAATGACTGAATGATTTTATTAATGGGCACAATGTATTTTGTAAAGGCTGCCCCAAAACAATGATTCATCCACAAGGACCACTGGGGTATCACAGTATGGGCCTAGTTCCTAGGTGTCAAAAATGTACCGAGTCTTCTATATTAATAAACTCTTGCAACAAGCACACGATCCTTTCATTCAGTGAGATCACAAAACGTTGAGAACTCTTCACAAAAGGTTAAGTCATTTATCCAACATATGCACACATCACTATTGACATGTCCTCTTTGATAGACCAGTATTAATGTCATTCAATTCAGGCAGGTGAACTGGAAAATGTAGATTATTTAAAATGTTCCTGAGGAATTTAGGTGCTTTTACTCAGATTATGTTTGACTTGTCAAACAATGTCACTGTAGACAATGGTGGACATATCTTTAATAAACCTTATAATACATGTTAATAAGCAAGACAACATAGTCAATGCAGTAATTGACATGAGGCATCCAAGCTTAGTAAAATAGAGGCAGTCCCCTGATTCAAATACTTTACATGCTAATGCAGCAAATCTCAAGGACCTCAGGACCCCATAATTTCAAACACTGCAATGTTAGGCCATATTTGTGTTTTTCTAGTTGGTTTACAAGACTGACCAACAAAAACCTAAAATATCAACAACACTTGTTGCACTTCCTGAAAAGAGTTTTGACAAATGTATAACCAGTTTCCAAGAAATGGCAAATTATTTGCATAAAATTCTGTATTCTGCAAAAGACACCATCAAATATCTTTTGAGATAATTTTGCAATCGTACTTCTGTGATGGTATGACCTATGTGTTTGTTTTTCATTCCTTATAATAACGTAGCAAAACCCTTAAAAAGGGCTACTTTCTACTGGTCTTTATGATACCTTAACTACTGGCAATTTGGCAAGGGCTATATAGGACTTGTGCCAAGTTCTAACACTGCATTATATACAAATAAATAGGACAACATTTAAATTCCTAGTCACTACTGCCATTGATCCTGATCGTGATGATCACAATGAAGATTTCGAACAGTAAATCGTCTCTTGTGCCACTGGCAACCAATACATAAATTACCATTCTGTTTATCATAGCTTTATTTCGGATAATTTGACAAATGTGTCTTCATGAATCATAAATAGGCATGACAATGAAGCCATGAAATGAAGATGTAAAATCAGTGACATATTCACTCCTTGAGCAAGGCACAACTATCATTTCCTAGGTCGTTATAAACAGCTGTACACAAAATTAAAACATCTACATCAGTAATCGACAATGAAAACAAAATACCATCGGACAATGGATTGACTTACGACTTACATAAAATGTACATACAGATGACATGAGGGTATGAATAATTTTTTGGACCTGAGATTGGTATTTTTACAATTCATGGATTTAATTCAGCACTGATATTTTCCCCGATATATATGTAATGCACCATGACCACATCAGTCCTGATCCATCGGTTCCTCTTTCTGCGAGTCTGTGTCTGTCTGAGTGTCTTGTTGCACTTCCTTTGATTGCTGCTGTTCTGATTGGTTGTCTGTCTGTTCTGAAGTCCGACAATTCTCAGAATCTGTGTCCATATTCTGCTCCGAAGAGTCCACTTGGTCTGATTTTTCACAAGAACTCGGCGAGGAAGACGCACATTCCTTCTCGGGTGGATGTTCCGCACACATGGAGTCAGAAACAGGATCTGTGGAACTGGCCGGCTCACTACTGCCACAGTCTTCAGTCTGTTTGGAATCCGACTCACACAGCCGGTCGGTGGGGTCCTCGGAGGATGACGCTACACCCTCCTCACACACAGGGCCAGCTTCGGATGCAGATATGTGTTGGTTCTCGGGTGAAACGGGTGGATGTTCTTGTGATGAGGAAACCTGTTCTCCATCTTGTGTTGGTGATGGAGCTGACTCAGGGGCACCTGCAAGAAATGAATGAAGATGTCCAGAATCATTATCAGGACACAACAGTAACTCTGGATGTCAGAGAAAATATATGGAACTTGCCAGAACCATTATGTCACTTTTAAAAGGTATATTTAGAAAAGCAGAAATGACACAATTTGTAAATGTTAGAATATAATGTTTGTAATGGCTCTACCCTTACTCAAAACATAGTTAGGGAAAGCTGGGATAAACAGCGATGTTAAGGTGTGTCCACTAATTTAAGAGAGTGAGTGAGTGAGTGAGTTGGGTTTAATGCCGCTTTTAACAGTATTCCAGTTACATCACAGCATGTCAGCTTAATGGGGGAGGAAAGCCCCAAGTGATGCAGGTCTCAGACGTTTACCACTTCTGTGAAACCCACGAGCACAGGTATGGTGCTGATAAACCTAGAAACTTATTGGGGCGAACCGGGATTCAAACTCAAACCCACAATCATAGCTTTCTGGCGTTCCCAAGGGACGCAACTCTGCACAGTGAATTGTGTCACCTTGGACGACTGGGCCACCAGTGCCCCCCCTCCCCACTAATTTAAGACCATAATAGGGTTTCCTTTGTGATTTGAATGGATCCTTCATGGAAAAGAGACAAAACCAAAACCAAAGCACCTGAAAAATAGCTCTTCTGATTTTACATAAATCCATTATTATTGCTGCAGCTGCAGTAAAGCCACAGACTGTGTCAGCAGACATGCTCAACCTCGCAATACATCCTGAACAAATGCTCTTCATCTCAGCAGGGATGGAGCATTAGCACATTAGCCCGAATAGTTGTAACATACAAAGAGACTAATGCTGTTTGTTTAGGTTCTGCCACTCATGGTGCATGGTGCCACACATCCATTGATCATGAGACAAAGCTGACAATATTCTGAACAATCGTGAGTGCTCTAACATATCAATTCCAGGGCTTGTTACTTATGCCACCGATTTGACTCACTGTATTGCCTTATGAGTGCAAAGAAATCACTTCTGAGCACTTCTGTGTAAGCCTTGTTAATTTGGAAATCACCATGTAACAATATTATAAAGGACCTTACCATTATCCGGTGTCTGTTCTAGGGTGGATTCAGGAGACTGTGATGGATCTCCCTTGTCTTCAGTCTTGACAGGCTCCTCCTCGACTGCTTCACTCTCCGACACTGCCGCCTCACTGTCCGACATGGCTGCTTCACTTTCCAACACCGGGGCTTCACTTTCCGACACTGCTGTCCCGCTCTCAGAAACTGCTGCCTCACTTTCAGACACTGCTGTTTCATTCTCAGACACTGCTTCACTCTCAGACACTGCTTCACTCTCGGACACTGCTTCACTCTCCGACACTGCTTCACTCTCCGACACCGCTTCACTCTCCGACACCGCTTCACTCTCCGACACTGCTGCCTCGCTTTCAGACACTGCTGCCTCATTCCCGGACACAGGTGGACTTTCTTCACTCTCCGGCATCTCAGCTGGAGTAGCCTCCCCTGATTCAGCTGCCATAGACTCAGGTTCAGTCTCTGCTGATTCGTCGGTTTTAATTGTGTCCATAGATGCTGCCTCGGAATCATCAACCCCTGGAGATGATTCATCAGGCTGTGATTGTGAAGGGGGGGAATATTTTTCCTCTACCGGTGTTTCTGGTTCCATGTGCTGTTGCTCTTCCTCTGATGAATCCACTTCCTGTTCATTAGGACTGGGTGCTGATTCCTCGGAGTCGGACTTGGACTTGGGCCACACTGTCGCCACCCCCGGGTTGTTTAGGGGCCAAGAGGGGACAGGAGGGGGTGGGAGAGAATTGCCGGTCTGGGTGCAGCCATTGCTGTCAAGACCATTCACCAGATTCCGGGATTCAGACACAACTTTCCTGGAGAAACAAACGCAAACATAAGAGATTTAATTAGAACTAGAAATTATGTATGATAATAAAAGTCTGCCATTAGTCCAAAGCCCCAGTCAATTGGATTTCTTGAATAACTTTACTTATCATAGTCCATAACAGTCCAATCCTGTTCTACTGCAAATAATGCTGGAAGTCAAGGTCAAGCTATAAGTGGTAAGTGAACTTAATACAAAAGGGTTTGGGCACCAACTTCAAAGAGGTCTTTCTTTGTCATAAACTAATGTCAAAAAGTTAGGAATGAGCCAAAACTCTGCCAAAGTGCATCATATCATTTGAGCATGTTGATTAAAAACATGAATAGATTTGGAAAGTATCTGACAACGCCCAGTTGACAGTTCACGTTTTGCAAATCCTTCAATAACCAAAATCTGCACGGCAGTCGCCATGTTGCATACAAACTAGATGTTGACTTCACTACACGATTCTTTTATTCTATGCATGGACTTGTCAGGCCAGCCAAAATATAACTCAAAATTCCAGCCTAGTGCAGCAAGGGTGGAAAGTGGACTTTTAAAGCCAGTTAACTCCCTTGCCTCGAGAAGGTGTTGACTAAAAGCAGGTAACTATCAACACCATCAGCATGATGTGAAGGTGACAAGAATTGCCCTTACCTTCCAAACGGGTCCACAGTGCTTACCACCAGCACATTCTGAAACAAACGAAACAGTGAGTGAGTGAATGAGTATTGCTTTACACCGCTTTTAGCAATATTCCAGCAATATCACGGCGGGGGACACCAGAAATGGGCTTCACACATTGTACCCATGTCGGGAATCGAACCCGGATCTTTGGCATGATGAGCGAACGCTTTAACCACTAGGCTACCCGACCACCCCGAAACAAATGAAACATGTGAGGTGGAGATGTCCTGATGTTCGATAACAATCGATGATTGCTTGGTTACATTTACACTGATGTCATAACCGCTTGTAGTTTCCAAACTGTATATGAAATGTTATATTTCTAATGTTTAACCCATGGCCATATGAAAGTAATAAAATATTTTCATGAAATAATATCTGAACTATACATTACAAATGTGAAACTAATAATAACAGCTGACTGATATAACAAATGTTATATTTGGGATAACACTTTCTTTGTAAAGTACAGATTCTCGTACTTTTGGGGTTAAGTCAAGTCCAGGATTCAAACCCACACTTGCCAGAGTGAGGCGCCAAATCGCCAGCACACAAAGTCAGCGATCTAACCCACTCAGCCACCTAGGGTTCCACTAAAATGAAAGTCAGATAACTGGTAGATCATGTACTTCCTGTACCCCTCTAACAAGTGCTTCAAGGAGAGATGGTCTACGATTGACAGAAAAACCTCATGGCCCCAATATATATATAAATACCTTTTCAATGCCTCTTAAAAACTTGTCACTTCTCTTATAATGTCTCTTGGGATCTGTGATCAACTCACACAACCTCTGAATTGTGAATGGAGCTCTGAAAATAAATAATACAAGGTATATATACACAGCTGTAGAAGAATGTACAAACTCAGTTTGAGGTTAAATTGTTTCATAATTCAGAAATATAAGTCATGACATTATCCATTGTTCATGACATCACAGTCATCACATCAACTGAACAACAGGTTCATTCAAGTTTCTCTGCAGAGTTGAAATTTCATTCCAGTGATTGTTTTATCTGTTTGTTGTTTAACGCCGCACTCAGCAAAATTCCAGCTATATGAAGGCAATCTGAAAAATAATCAAGTCTGAACCAGACAATCCAGTGATGAACATTATGAGCATCGATCCACACAATTTGGATATGATGACATGCATCAACCAAGTAAGTGACCTTGACCACCCGATCCCGTCGCCTTTTATCAGGGTTAGAAACTAACAGTTTTTGTCCACTAGTCCTTATAATGATATCACATAGCAAAACCCTTAAAATGGACCAATTTCTACTCGTCCTTAGGATACCTTTACTATTGGTCAGTTTGGTAAGGACTATAGGACTAGTGCCAATTTCTAACGCTGCTTTTATGGCAAGCATGGGTTCCAGTGATTGACATCATGAGCATCGATCCACATAATTAGGATATGATGACATGCATCAACCATGCCAACGAGTCTGACCCGCTTATCACCTTTTACGGCAAGCATGGGTTGCTAAAGACCTATTCTTCCCCGGATCTTCACGGGTCTGAACTATGCATAAACTTGTTAGTCCAGCCAAAACATAACTCCATAAAGCCAGCCTAGTTTGGCAAGGGTGGAAACTGGACCTTTATAGTGAGTTAACTCCCTTGTCTCGGGAAGATATAAAATGTGTGAACTTGCCCACATCAAACGAACAATTTCAAATTTGGACATGTCAGCAGACTGGTAAGACCCTTCACATCAACTGACCTGCATTTTCTAAAATTAAGTACATCCTAGTACATAGTCATTTTGCGTTTACTTACAGCTTAGCAACAACATCAACAACAAAAAGTTAACAGGTAAAAAAAGATTTGTAAGTGCCGATTGTAGTGACCTGGTCCCTTTCTTTAGGAAATAAAATCAACAACATGTAACAGTAAACTATGTTTATAATAAACATGCTCATAACGAAGTGACGGATATATAACAATCTTATAATTGGTCCCGGCCCTTTGCTGTATATATGCTTTATAGATGCTTATAACAAACTATGGTTATAACAAACTAAAATTTGTGGTCACTTTGAGTTCTTTATACCCGTAGTTTACTGAAATCTCATACAAAAGCTGATTTCAATATGCCCCAATATTGTGTTAATAAATGTCTAACCCCATGGAGATTCCGGGTCAGTATAGATACCCAGCATTGGGTGGTTACGCTCGGTGTCTTGGTTGACTGCATTTCATTGTACCCCAAATGAGGATCATAGCTCACAATATCACACACTGTTGTCTAGGCCAAGGGCTTCACACATTGTACCCTTGTCGGGAATACAACTAGGTCTCTGGCATGACATGAATGGGCTCTAAGCATTGTACCCATGTCGAGAATCTAACCCAGGATTTCGACATGACGAGCTAACACTTTAACCACTTGGCTACCCAACCGCACCCCCTTACTTAGTAATCCAACATCAAATGCCTTTCAAAGAAGTAACAAACAAAACAAACACATGCGTAAAGATGGTCACCTACCCATGAAACCTCTCCACAGCTTTAATGATCCGGTCCCTCATATCATCGAACTTGACCTGTTCCATGTTGGTGTTGGGGGGGTAGTGGTCCACTGGGATCTCCTGGTGAAACTCGGTCATCACCTGGTCCAGCTTGCTCACCAGCAGGGGCTTGAGTCTGGGCCAAGGGAACCTGAAGTCCACAACAACAACTCAGTCCATGTACACTGCCATCAGAAGTGATGAGCTTTAATGACAAAGCTGACGACAGCTTGTTTTAGTTATTTGTACATTTGTGAGTGAGTATGGTTTTATGCCGCTTTTAGCAATATTCCAGCAATATCACAGAAACACCAGAAATGGGCTTCACACATTGTACCCATGTTACATGATGTGGGGAATCGAACCCCGGTCTTCGGAAATGATGAGCGAACGCTTTAACCACTAGGCTACCTGACCGCCCCCTTATTTAATATGTACTCACTAATATAGAGATTTGTCTGAGGTAGTCATCAACCTTGAACTCGCACCACAGCTATCTGGGTATGACCAGTGCTATATGGCAGACAACTAGTCATCACTGTTGATCCCTTCAACTGTCAGTCAGAAAATAGATCAATTTATTCTGGTATCTGGTCCAGAACAGCCCCTGCTGCGTTTGAATGTAGGAAATCGAACCCAGGTGTTCGGCGTGATGAGCAAACACTTTAACCACTGGGCTACCCCACCGCCCCTTGTACATCAGATGTCTACAGAATTAATCTTGGTGTTATACAATGCTCCTTTTGACACAAGCCCTTTTCATGAACCTAATATTAAAAAATATGATTTTGGTGTCCCTGGATTCAAAGATCACAATGACCTCACAGTCCCCCTTAATTTAAAAACTGCACATGCATAAAATAATACATCAGACGAACTACAAACTAAAATGAAAAGCAGAATTCTTTCACAAACTGGTTATTTAAAATTTCTTGAATAAAGTATTGCAAATCATATATGATTTCCTCAATTTAAGACTATTATTTCAGACCTAGTGTGTGAGCCACTCTTAGCAGCAAAGTTTAGAGACAAGGAGGATGGGCTTCACATAATAATAATCAAATAACTTCATTCAGACCATATTTTGGCAGTAACCATGAGAAGTACTCTCACTTCATTGAATATTGCATAGGTGATGAAATATGGTTCTCCTTCTACACGCATTACCATGATTACACAAATTATATTAAGTCACTTTGCAAATGTTAATCACAGATTATGTTTGTAACAGCAGGCAATCAGGAAATCAAACAGATGCCCACAAAAAACATCACAGTTAGACAATGTTTCCCACATTCTGATCTTCATTTCCTTGTTTGTGATGTTTAGTCTACAGCTGCTAGGTAGTTGCTACTATCATGGTCTGTCGACTACTGAGATGAACATAAGGCTATGAATAAATATGCGAAGGACAATCAACGTACACATATAAATGAATACAATCATTCAGACTGAACTCCTGTATCCTGAGCATTATTTTACTACAAAAAACACCAAAAAAAATAAAAAATATATAAAATATTTCATATAGAGCAGTTAACTCAAAAGTAGTCCAAGTACATGACATGTAACATAATTCACTGAGGCTTAACATGTGTAGAATATGATTAAATTGTGAATAATTTATAAATGAATAGGAATATGAACAAGCTGAATTAATGTGTATGTGAATGAATTAATGTGTCGAAAGCTGCTGGTTTGCTTATCTGAGAACAGTCTACATTTTCAAAATCCATAGAGCAATTAATATTGTGATGGGCATCTATATGACAAGTTCACATGTTTAACTGGATGGACTTTGTTCTTCATTGTGAAAACACTGAGGATCAATTCACCAAAATCATAATTTGCTCTCAATTTCAGTTTGCAACAACTGAAACTTTGTAAATGTGTCACTCATTCCTTGATCATATCAGAAACAATGTATCTAGGAACATTCAAAAGTAAAGTTTAATCACAAGATTTAGAGAAGAACTTGTGTAATTCTATTATTTTAGTCAATTGAAAATAAGATAGCTGTTTTGGGTACATGATGTATGTCCACAAGATGCTTCCTTTCAATCAGGGACTGGTATATCCTGAGTGATAAGCAAACGGAAAAGTCACTGATGAAAATCCACTAACACCTGAAGAAACGTGTCTTTCCAATTGGCCATGTCATTGAACAGCGTGTCAGCTGTGATACTCTCAATACAAATCTTATGAAAAATATCCTATGTGTACTTGGGCTGTTACGATTCACTTGTGTATTCGGTGAATCGAACCATATCCATTCATGAATTGAATTCGTTATTTGTGACCAATAGAATCGAAAATATTCATGAATAGGCAGTCATGTTCAAATATCCATAAGAACATTATAAGCATAGCTTTCTTGAATTGGTTTGGTTGGTTTGTTGTTTAACACCGCACTCAGCAATATTCCAGTCATATGACGGCGGACTGTAAATAATCAAGTCTCGACCAGATATCCAGTGATTGATATCATGAGCATCGATCCACGCAATTGGGATCGATGACATGCATCAACCAAGTCAGCGAGCCAGACCACCCAATCCCGTTAGTCGCCTTTTACGACAAGCATAGTCACCTAGACAACAACAATCTTATAATATCTAATTTGACAGTAATTTACTCGCTGGTCATTGTCGCATTTGAGCAGATACTAGTACCTGGATAAGTGAAGTATATAAATGTATAATGTTAATAATTAACAAACCATGTCAAATAATTTGTGTTGCTTTTGTTTGATTTTGCACCCCTCATGTGTACGTATAGCAATGGTAGAATAAGAACTCATCAGAAGCATTCTTTCAGTAATTATGGTACGTACAATGAAATCTGTGTGCATGTGAATGTACATTTAAAATATTAAATATAGTTAAAATGCAAATAATACAGTATTTCAGTGACTAAGGACCCAATTCTAGGTTCGAGATATAGTGTCAATTTGAATCCTGAAGCTCGAGACAAATATACAACTGCAATAATACTTATATTACAAGACGGTATCAACGAAAGATAAAATTTGAATTGTCACTTTGACACTCACAACTTGAATGCATTTTGTCAAAGGAGAAGCTACTGTGTATTTATGTAAACAGCCAATAGTACGATATTGGAAGGGTTTATTGACATTTCATAACAAAATGCTATATTGAGAAACCAGTGTGTTTCTGTAGGGCAAGTCCTTAATACTTTCACATTGAGAAAAAACGAAGGTTAATTATCTCCCTTGGAAAGAGAGGCATGACAGATTAAATATTGAATGTACATAAGGAAATCTTAAGTACACCAATGATGTTTAGAAGGCTGTGAAACAGTCACAACAGCATGACATCATCAAGTGAAGAAAGTCTATGGGGTAAACACTTTTCTTCTTGTTAATTATCATTTTACCTGGCTAGTTTACTTATTTTTCCTGTGACTCTTCCGAGTATATCCAGAGCTACAGATGAGCTGCGCGTTTTTTGCGTAAAATACCCCCCAAACTATTCAAAACCCAATTACTTTCAATTATCCTGCGTACAGGAACGCATGCATTAAATGGAAAATGCAATTGTTAGAAGACAGCACGCGTAAATACCCAATGAAGTTTTTACGGCATGGGTACAACGGAGATAATTTTCGAAACACAATTACAAGCTAATTTGCTTTCCGAGTCAAGCCTATATTTAGGACTGTTATATACATCTAAGACATTTCATTATTTTTTTAAATCACAAAATGCCTACTCATTTAGGGAAAAACCTGATAGAGTGATGAATAGATGAGTGAAAAAATATTGGTTACAATGAAAAATGTAATAACCCAAATAAAATAGAAACCTTTGAGTAAAAACTCAGTTGCTCAAAAAGTTATCTGGGGGTCTGTATCTAAGCAGAACATGCGAAACACCATGCTTTGTCATCAGACGGGTTTTCACATCGAGGAACACTACAAACGGACTTGAACCTATGTTTAAGGCAATAAACACTTTTGAAACACCTACTCAACCAACAACAACAATTATTTCTACAGTCATCGCAAATCTAAATTTTTATCCAAACACTTTGTGCCCATATCTGCGCAACCGTAAAAAAATGTGCAACTGCTAAATATATAGCATGTTTACACATCATCTACCAGATCCTAAGTTTTCGGACATTGTATGTTTTTTTGGATGGCTATCGCGATTACTTGCTCTATAACAAGGGGTGTGGCGTCACACAGACATTGTAAACACTCAGATGACCTGTTTTTAAGATAAAGTCGTCTATTATAAGTGAGTGAGGTGCCTCACAGTTGTTCTTGTGATAAAAGAGAAAATGACAAATGTTTCATAAGCATCTGAAAACTCAAAACATGGGGATACTCCCAACATCTTCCCAAGGCAAGAGAGCTAACTGACTATAAAAGTCCAGTTTCCACCCTTGCCGAACAAGGCTGGAATTCCTGGGCTCGAATGTAGCGCCACCAGTGGCTATTAAGAGTTATGTCCCTTCTATGCCTCTCCTATGCACCAATCAGATTCCACCTCTCGTATCACTTGCATTAGCTTCAAACAAAACGGTGGCATCCAGTCAAGACGATCTGATCGATAATCAATATGCAGATTGTCATAAAACAGGTCTTACATTACGAAGGGCATCAAATCATGTGAGCACCTTGATTAAAAACATGAAAAGATTTGGAAAATATCTGATGACAACGAATTGGTGGTGCACATGCTTTACAACTCCTGCAATCAACCGAAATCTGCATGACAGTTTACGAACCGGATTTGAATTTGCACGATTTTGATTGGACTATGCAAAAGCTCGCTAGTCCAGCCAAAATGTAACTAAATAATACCAGCCTAGTTCGGCAAGGGTGGAAACTGGACTTTTATAGTCAGTTAACTCCCTTGCCTCAGGAAGACGCACTCCCAAAGGACAAGAGGCTTGTCACAATTATGGCCGCAAAACTGACCTTCAAAAGCATATGAATGACAGTTTCACTTTCATGTTTATCACAAGACTGCATAATCAAAATTGTAGAAACCGCTGAAGATATTCCCAATCCTAAACAAACACAGATCATTAAACAATTGAATCATCTGAACATTTGCTTTTTGCATACATTGGAACAAAAAATCACGATCTTTTACAGCGAAACTGCATTATCTTCAGACATTCATATAGCTCTGCCTTCACTCCATGGAAATTCATATTTCAAAGATCTCATTGTTGAAAATACATTATTAAATATATTTACACTTCACCTAAAGTCATGGATAACCTTAATCTGTGAATTTGGCTTAACTAGCTCCATCTCGAAGGAGTGAGTGAGTGAGTGAGTATGATTTTACGCCGCTTTTAGCAATATTCCAGCAATATCACGGCGGGGGACACCAGAAATGGGCTTCACACATTGTACCCACGTCGGGAATCGAACCCGGGTCTTCGGCGTGACGAGCGAACGCTTTAACCACTAGGCTACCCGACCGCCCCTCCATCTCGAAGGAAGTACTGGTGTTCTTCACCTACTGGGGTATTACTATTCTGAGACGTAGTTTACAATAAATTATCAGTAAGTATTGAGGAAATTAGCACACATTCTATCTGTCTTTCTTCCCTTCAAGTTTTGCTGTTTTTGCAAAGTTGAACAGCTTTAATGACTGCTGTTTGCAAGTATTTCATATATCATTGTTGAGCTTTCTTGTTTCTGGGGTTCCATAAGTTCCTATATGCTAATATCCAATGTAGTCCACAAATTTAGGTGACATCACAAGTTATGTACACAATCTTATGTACTGTGAAATGGTGTGCCCTCACAGAAATCGTGAGCGAGTCCATTTTCCACTTTTAGTGTCATATGAATGATATAAGCATGAAGTTTGTTAGTAGTGGGTATTTTCAACTGAATTGTTTTAATTTGGAAAGAAAGATAATGGTGTTACATCCACGATTATAGGTTAATCTTGAGTACTTCATACTAATATAATCTAAGGCTAATTATGGCTACGTCTCGACTCCAAAATTCACTTTCCTGTGATTTTAGAAACAGTCATATCATGTGTTCACGTCATTCGCACCGTCATTTATCCCACTTATGATCACGAATGGCATTTCAGAACTATGTAACAACCAAATTCCACCGTGTGCCGTTATGCTACATATAATTACACAAGCTGAACTCGACACTGCCCGTGCCACGCGTCGTTTGAATTATCCGCCACTCCGCTTTGTTTACACTCCAAGACGCTTCTTCATATATCACCACACCGGCTATGTTGATATTGCGTAGTCACATGTTGGCCGAAAAAACACAAACTATGGCAATCTGGAATGTTAGTTTACCATAACTTGATTTCGTTATCCATCATACAAACCACCAACATGTAAACGTGACAACTTACAGTGTTTCGCCCGTTTTGGCCACTTCGCTTAGAAACTGCTCCAATAACGGGGGAATATCTTTCGTTGGTTTCTTCTCAAAATCTGAAAAAGCACAGACATGAATGTAAAAACTTGTCGACAAAACATTACAGATTCATTTGGTATATATAATGAATCTACAAACCATTCAGGGCGTCAAATACTTCCTCCCGATTGTCCATGGTGGCCTCCTCTCCGGCTACTCGCACCATGAAGGTCAAGAAATGGCGGCGAGGAAGTGACGTAAGGGCAAAATGTCGGTCATTAGACTGAACCAAAAAGAGGGGTGTTGAGCCTGGTTCATTGACCTGCACGTCGCAGTCACGTTCTCCGTCGTCGATAAGTGAAGTTGTAGAATATTGGAGCTTTTCGCGATAAACGAAAGTTCGATGCGGACATGAGTTGGAGAAGGAAATATTTAAGAAATTGATAAATCGCGTTACAAGGTTATTGCTGTAATGTATTGTAAACTGTTTTCCCGTTATAAAATAATACAACATCTGTTCGCACAGATGCTTTCACATCCACGTGACTGATATTAAAGGTAGAAAACATATAAACTAAAATAATCGATATGCTGTTGTTGTTTATAGAGCTGTGTATCTTTTTCATTTCGTTGTTTCTTTTTGAAAGAAATGTGCAAAAGGTTAAATAGATATCAATCGATGGTATCTCAGGTCCTTTTATAAAGAATGGACCCTGAATTAATCATACGGAATCCGAGGCAGAATAAGACCCCAGTTCCAAATTATTGACGTGTACTAAATGGGTGTCTTGGGCACAAATCGCCGATGTGTTTGCAGCTAAAATATAGATATTAATATTCTATTTACTCACAGTTGATAAGTGACGTACATTCAATTTCTTCCCTTCATTTTTTTCGGGTTATGTCGCTTCATATCGCATCATATCAATTATAGATGATCATGTACACATATACACGTGACATATTAAATTTGATATCTCGTTAAACATATAGGTATTAGGGACGTCTTTCTCTTTTAGAATCTCCCCAAATTGAGTATGACCCACACTCTTCCGACCTCTGCTCCTAAAACCCTCTCACTCGCTCCGCCCTCACGCTCTTCACGACACCGCTCTGACTCCGACCCCCTCTCAATCTCAGCTCCCATCCCCTTTCATCAACCATCTTCCCTCACCTCAGCTGACCCCCCCCCCCCCCCCCCCCCCCCCTCCACCGCCATCCCACCCAAACATCCCTACTCCACCCCAACCCAAATGCCTCTTCCCCACCCTTACCCAGACACCCCTACACCACCCTGACACCCCAACCTAAACACCACAACTCCACCCGCTCATGTCGCGCCTCTCTACCCTCCTATCTTCCCTCTACCCTGCCCCACTGACCAACCCCCCGCCCTCCCACGATCCCGTTCCACCCTCACACACTTTCACACCACCCCCTATAATGTCCGGTATTGCTCGTACAGTTTCATATCCATGGCAACAGAGTCATGTCTAATTTCAGTTGTTCACACACCTTACAGCCTATGTGTGCCGGGGTCTTCAAACACGCTATCGTATTCGAAAGATCTTAATTTCATGGTAAAAGTAAAACTACGACAAAATACTGTTTTAAAAGCGAAAATGTAAAGTTACTACTTACTGTAAAAGTCGAAAAACGAGAAATAGACTCGTTCTCGACCCACTGTAGCTATTGTAACTAAGTGAAGTATTGTGAAGAATGGCGGTTGGTGCAAGGTAGCAAAGTATTTGGGGTCTTGGTTGACAGTGTTTCGGTGACTTCAGCCTCGTAATGTTTTCAAAGCGTTTGTATTTTTTTTTATCGATCCAATTTTCATGTGTATACGTTCTTTTGCCCGGCGACCCATAATCGATGCTCATGATGTCAATCCCTGGATTGTCTGGTCCAGACTCGATTATTTACAGACCGCCGTCATCTAATCGGAATATTGTTGAGTGCGGCGTTAAACAACAAACAAACAAACAAAAACAAATCTTTTTCCCGACAGTTTCTAGAGTAAACCAATGAATAAGTACTATTTTGTTCAACCAGTTACAGACGAAATAACATTTCAAAACCCATCTCGCGGTGATTGTTTTGATTTCGTGAAAGTAGTACTGCTTACAGACAATACAGTTCCTAAATCTTCCTAATGACCCACATTTGGGAGTGAGTATGGTTTTGCGCCGCCTTTAGCAATATTCCAGCAATATCACGTCAGCGGACACCTGAAATGGGCTTCACACATTGTACCCATGCGAGGAATCGAACCCGGGTCTTCGGCGCGACGAGCGAACGCTCACTAGGTTACCCCACCGCCCCGATCTCCTTTAGGCCAGTCATATACATGTATTGTGTCACTACATAGTATAACGGGTGCTTATCTAGTAATCAATGCATCCCTAATTCATAAAATATATGTTCCTTTTCTAGATTTGGAGAACAATTCACGATATTGTATCTTTATATTTACTCATCAAAACATCAGTGCATAGATAGTTCATCACACGCTCAACTTGTATAATCTTGAAGTAAAAGAATTTCATTCAACACTAAATCCTTTTAAGTGTTAACTACAATGTATTTGAACATGTGGATGTATACTGTATATATTCAGTTGCTGCTCAGAAGCGACAGTACCTACTTTCATGTTGTAATCGCGACGAATCATGGCAATCGATAGTCACATAAAGGGAGTTAACTCATTCACCCTTACTAATAACAACGTATTGGTAAGGATATTACTAACGTTTCACAACGCTCCCCTCGCCTGATTGTACACATGACATTTTATAAATCGTCGAATTTAGTTAGCATTCTTGCGCTGGAAATTGTAGATCCACTGATACCACTACGCAGTAGTGTTTAAATTCAACAAATGATTCAAAACAATTAAATTATATTAAAGGGTCGCATTCAAACATGAATGGCGCGATAGAGGCATTGTGTTTTTCTCATCCAAATCTATCGCGTTTTTTAAACAAACTATCGATCTCATTCGAGTATATCAAAAACAAATACATAATTTAACAAAAGCGTATATATAGGAGACACTTATAAATATGAAGTTTCTTTTTTCATTGACAACACACCTACCTGTGTCAAAACCTACTTTTCTGTTCGTGATATTTCAAGTGCATTACAATGATTTACAATTTCAATGATGTATACAATTATTTTACTGTAGTGTTTATCCTCGGCCAACTGACCCCGATCTGAACCCAAAGGAAAAGTGAAACTCATACATGAAGAAAATTGGAAACAATTAATAGGTTGCCATAGAAACAAAAACAGTAGGAATATTTTTTAATACAGTGTAATTACATCGAATCACGAAATGTGTGATGTGGATAAAAGTTAAAATTATATTACTGCTACTAGTGGGTGAATAATAAATCAGTTGTAACCAGTCTAGATACCTAAACTTAAATAATATTTAGTTTTTTAGGCTTAAGATTTGTATACATATTTTTCACCATTTCTTACGAAATGTGGTAACAAATCCTATGTGTTTTTTTTTTCAGTTCACCTACTTGTTAAACAGTGGGAAATATTAAAAACAACATTTTGTATGTTTCTGATTTCATTTTTGGGGATAGGTTTTTCTCGTAAACCATCTAAAAAAAAGTATTAGACCTAATTAAGGAAATCATTAACTGATAAATTGATAAAATCGTAAAATTTGTGTCAGAAGACAAACAAATTGGTCTTTGTTGGCAATGGTGGTCTTAAATCAAATTTGCTGGGACTGTCAATAGTCTGGTTCCCTGGGTAGGCTGCGCTTGCGATACAAACCAGGCTGGGACAAGCCAATTAACCTGACCGAGCTTCCCCTTAACCTATTATCTGACTCTACTCCATATTAAAATAATTGTTATACTGCAAAGTAATGAACCGAGCAAGTATTTTTATTACGATTTTAAGGTTTACGAAGCACGCATATCAAACGAATTATTACACCCTGGAAAGTAGCGTAGACTGCTAATTTTCTGATGGTTGTAACTTGATCGGGCTAATTTATTGCTCTGTAATTTACCGGGCGTGTTCTAGCAGAACAAATACATCATGTACCCGGCTAATATAAGGGTCGCACGTCGTGTATATTTCACCCTTAAAATAATAACTTGCGTTAATTGCAATTAACCGTACATCACCCAGATAAGACTTCACATCAAAGACGTTTCGGTGTTTACCGCGTTCGTCATTCGGGGTCTGTAATATATTACAGGTGGTTTTGTGGCATTTTTGTGTGTATGCGTTTAGGATGAAAGAAAGAAATTCGACAGTAAAGGAATTATATGTTTTTTGAAGGATTGCAAATTGATTGTCTGTTTTTCACGACTCTCCCAATGTAGATACAATTGTGTGAATAAGCATAAATGTGATTAATATTTACCCTCTAAGATGTTATTGGATAAATACTTCGTGTATTGGGAGTTTTCTAAATTAAATATGTGGTGAAAGCAAAAAACGTTTCTAATGAGAATTTTGAGTGTGAGGAAATCAATTTGAAATAAAGAGTTGAATTGAACATGTATGACCACCATATTATAAGGAACTCGTTATAAGACTCCATGATCACACTAAAATGTTTGTTTCTTGTTTAGCGCCACACACAACAATATTTAAGCAATACGGCGGCGTTAAATAATCGACAAGCCAGTGATTGGTATCATATGACTATCGATCTACCCGATCCCTTTTGTCGCCTCTTACGACAAACAGGAGTTGCTGAAACCCAATTATAACCTGGATATTCACGGGGAATATTGAAGGGAAATCATGCTGTGAAATACCCTTTCTCTTCTTACGCTTTTCTTTGTCGCCATGTAGCTATCATCCTCATGAATGTCTAACAGACTATTTCGGTTATTCGTATTTTTGTTACGATTTTTTCTTCAAGGCGACGAGATATATATTCACACTCCTTTAAGGGATATCTACACGGTTGCTAAAGAACGTCTCGTTTTGTTAACACTCGGACGCGATTTGTGGGCTCAGATGTAAGCTTTTGTTTTGACAGACACTTCTCGTTTGTCTGTCAATACACATCGCAGACCTCCAGTGACCCCTACATTGTGAGTAATAATGGACTCTTCCGAGCAGGTTGCAATTTATTTTTAGCCTGTGAATTTGTAAATATGGCGCGGGAGCACTATGCGCTTGTCGATCGCAGTTTCTAAGTTTGTTATAATTATTTGGAGTTACCCGTGACATTATTTTAAGCTGCGGTTCGCTTAAACAATAATAAAGGTAAGTGTCTCGTTATTTCCTTGTTGCTTGTCAATGTCATCCATCAAGATTTTGACTTTCTTTCTGATGGAGCAGGTGCCCTCCCACCGAACGAATCTGTCGAATCAATCAAGGTAAAGGTGTCATCTCACCTTCGAAGCCTTAGACAGGATTATTGTTTATCCGTAATTGTCAACGGGTCTATTTCTTATGTAGCGGCGAATAAGCGTCAATGTCGGTAAATATGTGGGAGATTTACAACAATAGGCGCTAACAAAATAATTTACCTGAGTAACACGATATGGTGTTTTCTTGACAACTACCAGTTTGGCCTTTGTATATTGGCTTCGTTTTCTGTTGACAGCCAGTATGTTATACCAACGGTCGGAAAATATTGATATGTTGTTGCTGATATTTTGTAGTGTATGTATATACTCAAGACTGCAGTGAATTTTGTTGTTGTGACATTTACAGTGAATAATAATGCCATTTGTCATCACATTTATGTCACAGCCTGTAGCACATCTATTGTTATCTGACAGTAACAGAAATTAAGAAATATACAAAGAAATGTCATTCAGGCATTGCATCCTTCCTAAGTTTCTACATAGAAATTATTAATTGTGGTTTACTTTTACCAATTTTGATAAATAATGTTAGAAAAAAAATCTCTGAAAGAGGTTTGAATCCAGCTGAAGAAAACTTCATCTTGTAAATAGCTCAGTAAGCTTTCCGAATACTCAAATTTTAAGACATCTACAATACCTTGTAAATTTTCTGTTTCATGAGTAAATTTGATTGCCAAAGTTGTGTTCAATTACAGTAATTGATTTGTGTATCAATTTCCAAGTTCCTTTTGTATTAGTTTTCTACAGAGATGTTTTGGTGCCTTATTAGAATCAGCTTAACGAGATATACCTGTGCAGGTGTGCCACTGTCAGCCCGCCCGCCCTTCATACCTGTATCAGTGAAGAGATAACATAATCCTTTGATATATACAACCTGTCAGGATTGTACTACTATGAATATTTATTTTACCTACCTAGTGAGTTCTAGGGGTTGTCTCAAAATGATTATGGATCTTTTCTATTTTGCTCTCAGATTGGAAAAGGGAGACGTGTAGTGTTTCATTCTTTTGGATCATTTTATACAATTGCATTATTATATGACAGCTAGGTGATATTTTGATTTTGGTGATGAATGTAAATTTCCCTTAAGAAATAAAAGTAGTCTTTCGTGGTGAGGTGTCCTTTGACCTGGGTCCAATTTGACACCTGTATTTGTACAATAGCTTAAATTTATTTTTACTCTTGATCACGTTTGACTCATAACACTGCAAGTTTGTGACTGCTACAAAATTTTGGCTGTGAAGTATTTGAGATGTTACCAGTATCTTGTAGACTTGTTGCAGTTAATGACTCCCACAGCTCATGCATTGCTCTTTTGTTTTGTGCTCCTAATTCTAAAAATATATTTGCGAATACTCCTAGTTCTCTGAAACCAGGGGACACTCTGCCTTTCCTAATAATCCACTAATACATTATTTTTCTATGTTCCATCCATCCATCCATGTGTACATCCATCCATCCATGTGTTCATTCATTCATTCATTCATTCATTCATTCATTCATTCATTCATCCTTTCTTCATTTCTTCTGATGAGGTACAGACTTGAAGTCCTTTGAACATCTTGACTGCTAGGAACGTAGATTCTGGTTATATTTCAGTGACGCTGAGAAATGTGAAACATTAACTTTTAGGATGGCTGACAATGTCAGATGGTAACAAATTATAAAGGATAGAAATAAGTATTAGCCGCCAGCATGTCTGATTCATGTACTATCATCCTAAAAGGTACCCTTGGGTAGTAGAATTAAGAATCTTTTCTGACATAACTATTTGGGCAAGAAGACGTTCAGTATTAATTTCTATCACTGTGCAAGGTAAAATACATGTATAAAAACTGCCTGTACCATTTGAAAGTACAATTACAGATGACATTGTCAGATGAAGTCCATCTCCGTGCTAAGACCCCTGGAGAAAATCCCAGTCTTAAAGACGAGATAATGACCAATTTGATATAACAAGGACAACACCTGCTGATGTTAAACCCGCTGATGTTAAACCTGCTGGTCTTAGAAAAGGGAGGTTGTTGCTGGTGGGGAATTTGCTCATTAACCTGTAATGTGACAGGTGGAGTGGAGTGGAGCAGAGGAGATTGTTGCATTTACAGGTTGTGGTTAGGCAGGTAGTACCATTTTCCTTATGAAGTTATTGTCAGTGGTTGGTTTGTAAATGCCAGATAGATGTTCCAAGGGTTGTCAAAATGAAATGTTGCAATGTAGAGGTTAGTATTGGTGGAAAATTCATAGACAAGTGTAGGTACGATTTTTAAATGTAGGAAGTGGTGGTGGGTGGAATACGGTGGTGGTTGGTGGATGTGGACAGTGGTGGGTGGATGAGGTGGGTGGTAGATAGATCTGGATGGGAAGGTGGTGGGTGGAATACGGTGGTGGTTGGTGGATGTGGACAGTGGTAGGTGGATGAGGTGGGTGGTAGATAGATCTGGATGGTGGTGGTGGGATGGATCTGGATGGGGGTGGTGGGTGGAATAGGGCAGTGGTTGGTGAATGGGATGGTGGTAGGCAGATGAGGTGGGTGGTGGATGGATCTGGATGAGGCTGGTGGGTGGATGGATCTGGATGGGAAGGTGGTGGATGGATCTGGATGAGGGTGGTGGGTAGATGGATCTGGATGGGAAGGTGGTGGGTAGATGGATCTGGATGGGAAGGTGGTGGGTAGATGGATCTGGATGGGAAGGTGGTGGGTAGATGGATCTGGATGGGAAGGTGGTGGGTAGATGGATCTGGATGGGAAGGTGGTGGGTGGATGGATCTGGATGGGAAGGTGGTGGGTAGATAGATCTGGATGGGAAGGTAGTGGGTGGAAATACGGTGGTGGTTGGTGGATGGGATGGTGGTAGGCAGATGGGGTAGGTGGTGGACGGATCTGGATGGGAGTGGTTGTTGGTGGACGGATCTGGATGGGAGTGGTTGTTGGTGGACGGATCTGGATGGGGACAGTGGTTGGTGGAATAGGGCGGTCGTGGATGTGGATGGTTATTTGTGAGGAGATGGGTTTGGGGACATCTGCTTATTCATTCAATTGATTTAACTGCACAAGCCATGTGGTTCTCATGTGAAGTCGGGCAAGGAGTAAAATTATAAGTTACATGAGCAAGATAAGCCAAGCCTATTATTTCATTGTATATGAACCAAGGACATATTTGACAGACAAATAGTTTTCCTACACAATAATTAACTTCAGGATTTTGACCACAAGTATGTTTAATTATTATTAGGGTAAACAGATCCGACCTCAACCACAAATATGTATAATTGTCTGTATTTATAGCTAAAATGGATAGAATTATCATTAAACTGCCCGCATGTTATCAGAAATGAGTGGGCCACTGTAACTTGAAAATGCCTTCATATTGCTTGACATGCCCATTATGATGCCCGCTGTTAGGTGACATCATATTGATGTTCAATAGTGACATCACCTTGTTTGTTCTGTGACAATTACACATTTGTAAAAGTGGGTCAGTGACATGCGTTGTGTGTTGATTGCAGTAAATGTTTCAAAACCAATATTGTTATCCCCCGCCGCGTGAAAGCGCGAAGCGGGGGATATAGTATTCACGACCGTCCGTCCGTACGTCCGTACGTCCGTACGTCCCACCTGTTTGTTGCCGCGATATCTCAAGAACTAAACACTGGATTGTCTTCATATTTGGAACTATGGTGTATATACAGACTCCGCAGACACCAGTCGGTTTTGGTGACCTTGACCCCATTTTCAAGGTCACAGCAGGCATATCTGCTTTTGGAGTTGGAAAACGGTGTTGCCGCGATATCTCAAGAACTAAACACTGGATTGTCTTCATATTTGGAACTATGGTGTATATACAGACTCCGCAGACACCAGTCGGTTTTGGTGACCTTGATCCCATTTTCAAGGTCACAGCAGACAAATCTGCTTTTAGAGTTGGAAAACGGTGTTGCCGCGATATCTCAAGAACTAAACACTGGATTGTCTTCATATTTGGAACTATGGTGTATATACAGACTCCGCAGACACCAGTCGGTTTTGGTGACCTTGATCCCATTTTCAAGGTCACCGCAGGCAAATCTGCTTTTGGAGTTGGAAAACGGTGTTGCCGCGATATCTCAAGAACTAAACACTGGATTGTCTTCATATTTGGAACTATAGTGTATATACAGACACCGCATACACCTGTCAGATTTGGTGACCTTGACCCCATTTTCAAGGTCACAGCAGGCAAATCTGTTTTTGGAGTTGGAAAACGGTGTTGCCACAATATCTCAAGAACTAATCGCTGGATTGTCTTCATATTTGGTACTATGGTGTACAGGCGGGGGATATTTCGTCACTCTGTGACAAATACTTGTTTATTTTTATTTAATGACAAATTCTATCCATTTTAGCGAAATTAACGGTAACACTATTTTTCAGGGCATTAATCATTTGCAGAAGCCCTCGGTCCTTTCAACTGCCCTCCTTCATCGGGCACTTAATGGAAGACCTCAGACTTCTGCAGATGATAATGCCCTGAAAATAGCATTGGCCTTACATCATTAGACACAAGATAACTCATTGGACTGTAGTGGGCATTTGATGGACGGTTCCCTCACTTGTTCAATGCAACACCATACACTGTGGTTCAAGTTTCACATAAATATCAATGACATGTCACACTTTGGTCTTTCCCCTTAAGTTAAGTATTACCATTTGACATACACCCTAACCTGGCATGTGTGCACTACTTTGATGTCCTCGTTAGTGCAAGCTCAGGTAAAGTGCCAGCTGTCAGTTTTCTTGTTTTTCACGGCAAGACCAACATGTCATATGTGTGATAGATCACACTGCACTTTGAATTTCTCACATAGTACAGGCTTCTGCACTTGAAGTGCGGACACACCAGAAACATAGAGTGC